GCATGAGGCCCTGGGTTTGATTCCTCAGCACCACATAAGCAGAAAAAGCCGGAAGTGGTGCTATAACTCCAGTCATAGAGCCCTAGCCTTGAGCTGAAGAGCTGAGGGACAGCACCCAAGCCCAGAGTTTTGGCCCTATGACTGGCAAAAGAAAAAGAACAAAGAAAAAAAGAAAGGAAACAGCTTACACTAAGCAAAAGGAACGAAATGTACATATCACCTGATTTGGAAGAAACAGTTGTATTGTCAAAGTTTGTAGAGTTCACAAGCTTTATAGACCATGATAATGACAATTTGCCTTGTCAAGATTAAAACATGTTCATGACTTTAGCTAAGTATCACTATCCCACAATACTGTGAAATTTATGCAATCACTTATATTTTTATTCTTATCATAAAGATGATATAAAAAGAGATTACAGTTACATACATCAAGTAATGAGTACATTTCTTTTTGGACAACATCACCCCTTCTCTTGCTGTCTCCCAGTTTTTCCCTCTTGTTCCCACCATCAAAGTTGTATAGTTCATTTTCAACATAGTGTTTAGTGAGTACCACTGCTGCATTTGTTCACCCATTGTCCCTCATTTCTGTGCCCCCTTACCTTCCCAAAGATAGATAAATGAACAAACAAGACAGAAAGAAAACAAAAACAAGAAAAAAACCTCCTGTTTCCATTTCCAAGATCGTGCTCTTCTAATAACACAAATTACAATATTTATTCACACTTCAAGAGATTTCCCTGCATAAGTTTAATAGATATGATTCTTTTTTTGTTGTTGTTTTTTGGTTTTTTTGGGTCCGGTCGTGGGACCTGAACTCTGGGCCTGGGCGCTGTCCCTCAACTCTTCAGCTCAAGGCTAGCACTCCAGCACTTGAGCCACAGCACCACTTCCGGCTTTTTTTTTTGTTTATGTGGTGCTGAGGAATCGAACCCAGGACCTCATGCATGCAAGGCAAGCACTCTACCACTGAGCCACCTTCCCAGCCCTCTTTTTTTTTTGCTAGTCCTGGGGCTTGAACTCAAGGCCTAGATGGTGTCCCTGAGCTTTTTTGCTCAAGGCTAACACTCTACCACTTGAGCCACAGCACCACTTTTGGCTTTTTCTATTTTATGTGGTACTGAGGAATCAAACCCAGGGCTTTGTGCATGCTAGACAAACACTCAACCACTAAGCCCTGATATGATTCTTAAGTAGAAAAATGCTGCCAGGCACTAATGGCTCACACCTGTAATCCTAGCTACGCAGGGGGCTCACGAGGTTGAGATCTAAGGATCATAGTTCAAAGCCAGCTTGGGCAGGAAAGGCTATGAGACTCCTATCTCCAATTAAGCCCCAGAATACTGGAAGTAGAATTGTGGCTTGAAGTGGTAGAGCACTAGCCTTGTGCAAAAAAGAGCTTAGGGATAGCATCCAGACGCTGAGTTCAAGCCCTACAACATGTTAATGAATATAAAAGGTGTATATAAAAAATGTATATAAAACAATGCATTTAAAAAAAAAGATGTATGGGGCTGGGAATATGGCTCAGTATGGAGTCGTTGCCTAGCATGCATGAAGTCCTGGGTTCCATTTCTCAGTACCACATAAAAAAAAATAAAAAAAAAAAACAGAAGTTGTGCTGTAGAATGCTAGCCTTGGGCAAAAGAAGCTCAGGGACATTGCCTAGACCCTGAGTTCAAGTCCCAGGTCTGACAGAAAAAAAAGGACATAGATAGATAAATAGAAAGATAAATCGATAGATAGATGACTAGCAGCAGGTGTGGTGGCGCACACCTGTAATTGCAGCTGTAGGGAGGCAGAGGCAGAAGGAGCACCAGATCCAGACCAGCTTGGGCTACATAATGAGACCCACTGGAAGAAGAGGGAAGAGGAGGGGAGGAGAGGAAAGGGGAGGAGAAAGGAAGGAAGCACAGAAGGAGAAAGAGGACTAAAAGAGAAAAGTTTTTGTTTTGTTTTGTTTATTGTCAGTCATGGGGCTTGAACTCTGGGCCTCGATGCTATCCCACAGATCTTCAGCTCACAGCACCACTTCTGGTTTTCTGGTGGTTAAATGGAGATAAGAGTCTCACAGATTTTCCTGCCTGGGCTGGCTTAAACCGTGACCCTCAGCCCCCTGAGTAGCTAGGATTACAGGCATGAGCCACCAGCCCCAGCTAATGATTCAAGAGAAAGAAGAAAAAGAAATGACATGAATCCATGATCAAGTAGTAATGAATTTGAGATTTGCTGTTACTTCTTATAGGATGGGAATTTTCTCATTCATTTGAAACAGATGATATGAAATTATACCCAGAAAGCACTGAACATTTGGGGTATACATCTTCAAAACCAGGAAAATTTGGAATGGAAAGTGAGGCTTAGATTTTTATCAAAATGTCTAATAATGTCTTTTACTTAAAAATTCATTGATTATTCCTTTACTCTAATTTGTATAAATTATTGGTAATATGATATGACTGAAATGGCAGAGAACCAACGGTGAACAAAAAAGGAAACCAGGAGGGAAGGCCCTGAATTCAAACCCTAATGCAAGCAGCAAAAAAGTAATTAATGAAAGAGAAAGGTTCTATCATCAAATAATGTCAGGAAACATAAAGTTAAAACAGGCTTCTTGCTGGGCCCCAGTGGCTCACACCTGTAATCCTAGCTACTCAGGAGGCTGAGATCTGAGGATCACCGTTCAAAGCCAGCCCAGGCAGGAAAGTCCATGAGACTCATGTCCAATTAACCACCAAAAGCCATTCATGGAATGGCCCAACTGGTACAGCAACTAGCCTTGAACAAAAATCTCAGGGACAGCACTGAGATAAGCCCCAGGCGCACACACACATACACACACACACACACACACACACACACACACACACACACACACACACACACACACACACACACACAGAAAATAGGCTTCTTAATTCATCATGGATTTGAATATCATAATATTTACTGTGGGGACTGGGAATGTAGCTTAGTGGTAGAGTGCTTGCCTAACATGCATGAAGCCTGGGTTTGATTCCTCAATAACACATAAACAGAAAAGCCGGGTGCTGGTGGCTCACGCCTGTAATCCTAGCTACCCAGGAGGCTGAGATCTGAGGATCACAGTTCAAAGCCAGCCCAGGCAAGGAAAAGTCCATGAGACTCTTATAAACCACTAGAAAACCGGAAATGGCACTGTGGCTCAAGCGGTAGAGCGCTCGCCTTGAGTTGAAGAGCTGAGGGACAGCGCCCAAGCCCAGAGTTCAAGCCCCACGACCGACAAAAAAAAAAAAAAAACAACAGAAAAATCAGAAGTGGCACTGTGGCTCAAGTGGTAGAGTGTTGGCCTTGAGCAAAAGAAGTTCAGGGACAGTGCTCAGACCCTGAGTTCAAGCCCCAGGACTGGCAAAAAAAAAAAAAAAATATAAATATATATATATATATATTTGTATGTATGTATGTATATATATAGTGAATCTTCAAGAGTGGGATTTAACTACATGTATCAAAGATACCTGAGCTTCAATTTTTTTCTGGGACTATCTTAGAGCAGGTATTCTAAACATCCTATGAAAGACTGTCTTCCACATTACCTTAAATACTAGTTAGTAAGTAACAACCAATAGTGTCTTCCAAACTCAGAATCCACAGATGTTTCTAAACCAGAGATTCCAGTACTAGTCAGATGAAAGATGATGAATTGTGTACATTAACCATAAGCTGGAGCTTTCACTTCTACTATTCATTTTGAATTTTATTAGATATAAAGCAATCGTAATTGTTTGTTTTGGTGCCCATCCTAGGGCTTGAACTCAGGCCTGGGCATTGTCCCATAGTGTTTTTACTCAAGGATAGCTCTCTACCACTTGAGCCAACATTCCACTTCTGGCTTTTTGGTGGTTAATTGGAGAGTAGTTAGGGTTACAGTCATACGTCACTGGCACCGGGCTTCTTTACTAACATGAATTCTTTTCCATCTGTGTAACATGGAACAGACCAAATACAGAAAGCAACCTTTGGAGTACTCACTAAAAACAGAAATGCTTAGATTCTTCTGTTTTGAATTTTCAGTACCAATAACACGCCAATCATCATTGCAACATAGCATTTGTCTGATTTCTATTCTTCAGTAATAGTGATGATAACTATAGTACATCTAAGATTAAAAAAAAAAAACGTGTTTGGCACCAGTGGCTCATGACTGTTAGTTATCTTAGCTACTCAGAGGGCTGAGACCTGAGGATTGTGGTTTGAAGCCAGCCAGAGCAAGAAAGTGCATGAGACTCTTATCTCCAGCTAACTAGCAAAAAACTAGAGAGGAACTATCGCTCAAGTAGAAGAGCAGTAGCCCTACTACAAATATAAATAAATAAATAAGACTAATAACTCTCATAGAAATTATAGAATCCTAAATTTGACCACAATGATCAGTGATCAGCCTTCTGTGTGATAAATGAAGGTAAAGAGGAGAGGTTGAAAGGAACAGACACTGAGCACTGGCCACTGACTTATCCTACCTACTTGGAGGCTGAAATGTGAGGATCATAGTAGCCAGCCCAGGAAGGAAAGTCTGTGAGTCTATTATATCCAATTAACCATTAAAAAGATAGAAAAGGAGCTGTGGCTCAAATGGCAGAGTGCCAGCTAGCCTTGAGTAATAAAGTGCAGAGACAGCACCCTGGGCCCTGAGTTTAAGCCCCAGGCCCAGCAGACACACACACACACAAAATTCTGCCTAGCATGCATGAAGCTCCAGTACTACATACACAGAAAAAAAAAAAACCAGAAGTGGTGCTGTGGCTCAAGTGGTAGAGTGCTAGACTTGAGCAAAAGAAGCTCAGGGACAGTGCCCAGGCCCTCAGTTCAAGCCCCAGGACTGGCAAAAAAAAAAAAATTCAAAACTTACAAAACAAAGGAGGGAAATTTCTTTTAAAAGAAGACCTTGATTTCTATTTTTACAATGAAAGAGGAGTGTAAGTTTTGCTTGCCATTCCCATGAATAAACTAAACCTAACCTTGGTTTTCTGACATCAAGTCAGCTACCTCGCTTCTTTGTGGATGTCCATCTCAGAGGCAATGAACAGCATTCTCAGACAGGATCTGAAAACTGCTCATACCCAAAGTGTGCAGGGATTATCTCAACATTGAAGGAGCCTCTAGATTCTAGCTACAGGGGAGAAATAGGAGAGAAAAAGTACTGGTAGTCAGAGAGGGTCAGTTTCCAGATAAGGATATCTCCAAAGGAAGACACCTAGGCTAGAAACACAATGATACATATGAGCATTGTTGGCCAACAAGGATGGTGCAGGGCAAGCCACTGACTGCCAATCCAGGTTGGACACTGGTGCACTGGTAAGGGGGAGAGCAGCTGTCAGGTAAAGCATCTGTAATGTCTGAGGACAGGATTAAATAAAACTCCATAACTTGTTAACCAGAAGCTCCACACCTCAGAACTATCCCCGTTTCCTAATATCAAAGCTCCACTTTCTCCAATTTGCTTAACAAAGCCCAAATCCTATAAGTGAGTTCTGATTACCTCCTATTGAGTTACCACCTGGATGCCAATCATGTAACCACAGGAGCAACCAGACCGTAATAGGAGTGTGTCATAAATATTAACCACACATATGTAGATTTCTACATTCAGCACCATTCACTACCTAGTCTCTGTGCACCAGCCATACTGACCTTCCAATTTTCCAACAGGACCTATAAGTCCTTAAATCTTTCTTGATTTGCTGAGAAACTGAATATGCAAGCAGTCAATGGTGAAATCACACACACACACACACACACACACACACACACATAAACAGAAAAAGCTGGAAGTGGCACTGTGGCTCAAATAGGAGAGTTCTAGCCTTGACCAAATGAAGCTCAGGGGACAGTTCAAGCCCCAAGACTGGCAAAAAAAAAAAAGATGCCCTACTTCTCAAAAGCCCATTGTCTTCATTCATTTTCTGCTGATGTAACAAAATAATATAGATTGTGTAATTTTTGTTGTGTTGTTAGTCATGGAGGCTTGAACTCTAGGCCTGGGCACTGTCCTTCAGCTCTTCACCTCAAGGCTATTGCTCTACCACTTGAACCACAGCATCATTTCTGGTTTTCTGGTGGTTAAGTAGAGATAAGAGTCTCATGGACTTTGCTGCCCAGGCTGGCTTTCAACCGCAAACCTCAGATCTCAGCCTCTTGAGTAGCTAGGATTACAGGTGTGAGCCACCAGCACCTGGCCAGACTATGTAATTTATAAAGCACAGAAGCTTATTTGGCTCATAGTCTTAAAGGCTGGGAAGTCCAACACTATAGCACTAGCACCTGTTGGGAATCTGATGAGGACCTTCTTTCTGCATAGTAATGGTGCAGAGAATCACATGCCAAGTGAAAGCAATGAGACAGAGACAGTGGCTGACACCTTTAATCCCAACTACAGAGGCAAAGACAGGGACAGGGAAGATCAGGGTTTGAGACCCCATAGCAAAAAGTTAGTGAGATACTATCTCAACAAAAAATCTGAGTAAGGGGGCGAGGAATGTGGCTAGTGGTTAGAGTGCTTGCCTAGCAAGCATGAAGCCCTGGGTTCGATTCTTCAGTACCTCTTAAACAGAAAAAGTAGGAAGTGGCACTGTGGCTCAAGAGGCAGAGTGCTAGCCTTAAGCAAAAGAAGCTCTGGCACAGTGCCCAGGCCCTGAGTTCAAGCCCCAGGACTGGCACGCACACACACACACACACACAAGTCTGAGTAAGGTGTGAAGCACACACAGGTAAGGAAGAAGTAAGATTGTGGTTCCAGGTCACTCTAAGAAAAAAAAAAATCCTAAAAAATAACAAAGGACTAGGATGTGGTTCAAGTGTGAGGTCTGGAGTTCAAACCTCACCAGTACAAAAAGAAAAAGAAAAAAAAGTTGGAACAATGATGTTAGCTTGGGATTGACTGTCTCCCTCTTCTAAGCCATTAATGTCATCATTAAGGACCTGATCCTCATAATCTCCTAATCCTAACTACATCGGAAGGGCTCCACTTCCAAATATCATTAACATTGGTTTGGGGATCAAATTTCCAACTCAGAAATTGTGAGATGCATTTAAACCATAACACCCACCTCTATCTTCCCCATTTTCAATAGCCAGCCTTTAATAAGAACATTCCTAAAGATTGCCTTTTTTTTCCCCCACAACTAATCCTTCCCAATCCCTGCCTGCAGAAAATGCAAGTGGGAGGTGGTTGGTGGCTCACTCCTGTAATCCAAGCTACTCAGTAGGCTGACTCGGCAGGAAAGTCCATTGAGCCTCTTATCTCCAATGAACCACTTTGGCTCAAAGTGATTGAGGGCTAGGGTGGTAGAACTCAGGGAGAGTGCCCAGGTCCGTGAGTTCAAGCCCCACGACCAAAAAAAAAAAAAAGTGGTTCCTAAAATTACTTCTGATTATCTCCGGTAGTTCGCGCCAGTAATGGAAACTATTCAGGAGGCTGAGAACTGAGGATCAGGGTTCGAAGCCAGTCCGGGCAGGAAAGTCGGTGAGACTCTCCTGCAATTAACCACCAGAAAACCAGAGGTGGCTCAAAGCGTTGGGGCTCTAGCCTAGCGCAAAGGAGCTCAAGGACAGCGGCCCGCGACCGACAAAATAAGTTTAGAAGCGAGAACAGAAGGTAAAGCGCTTGCCTCGCGCACGCAAGAGCACCTGGGTTGCTCCACTTAAGCAGGAAAATCGGAAGTGGCATGTTTGCGCATGCGCAGTCACGCCCTCTTACCCAAAGCTCTGCCCAGCGCCAAAAAAAAAGTGTCCACTTGTGCGCCTGCGCCACTGCCAGAACCCACGCGCATGCGCTGTGGTCGGGGCTGTTCGGGACCCGCCGCCGGATTGAAGACCATGGCGTGGGTCCCCACGGAGTCTGCAGTGGAAGAGTTGATGCCCCGGCTATTGCCGGTGGAGCCCTGCGACTTGACGGAAGGCTTTGATCCCTCGGTACCTCCCAGGACGCCTCAGGAATACTTGAGGCGGGTCCAGTGAGTGATTTGGTGCTGTGCGGGTGGCCCCGCCCACAGGGTTGAGCGAGCTCGGAGCGTGCGTTAAAGACCCGCGCGTGTTCCCGTCCCTGACTCTCGCGAGGCCTGTCTGGAGGGGGGGGGGGCTGCGAGATTGCCTGGAGGAGCGCGGGCGGTTCTGACTGCGGGTGTGCAGGTGCGTGCTCGCGCGCGCTTCTTTCTCATCCAGATGATGGCAGGCCTGTGTTTGGTTTTCCAGAGTTGGAAGTCTGGACGAGCAAAGCACGATCGTGATGTCGTCCGTTTGTCGCTTTGTTTGCAGGATCGAAGCTGCTCAGTGTCCAGATGTTGTGGTAGCTCAGATTGACCCTAAGAAGTTGAAAAGGAAGCCAAGTGTGAACATTTCTGTGAGTTTTATCTCCGCTTGATGATAATCTGGATCCCACCCTTTAAAGGATCCAACGATATCATTATGGTATAGGTAGGGTCTAGCATTTTTACTGTTTCTTCGGACGGACATTTGTCTCCAAAGTGATCTTCAGTAACTGGAGTTTGTGGAGACTTGTACATCTTAATTTGGGAACATGATCCAAAAATCCCAAAGAAGTCCTTATAAAAATAAAGGCGTCTTTTTCTTATTCTGCCTTGATAAATACTATTGGGCTGGTGATTGTTCAGTGACGTTCTCATGTTCCGAACTGGAACTGGTATAATTTTTTAAGAATGGCAAGCCAATGCCTTAATACCTTTCTTAGCTCCTTGCACACTGGGAACATTTTCATTCATTTATGGAGCACGCTTTTTATTATGCGAGGAGGTCCTTCCAGGCATAAGAGATAAGACAGAAAAGAACCCTATAGTTGTAGAGTTAATACCGTCCTGAAGAACACAGAAAGCAAATAATTCCATGGAGAAGATAAACACAGAATAATCAGTAAATAACACTAATAAATAAGGTAGTCACAGAATATTTCTCTAAAAAGTTCTATTTAACCTGAGGTCAAAGGAAAGTGGCATTATTTTTTTTCTTTTTTTGTGGGGGGGTGAGGTTGAGGGTACAGCCAGTCCTGGGGCTTGAATTCAGGGTCTGGGAACTGTCCCTGAGTTTCTTTTGCTCAAAGCTCACACTCTACCACTTGAGCCACAGCAATATGTCTGGCTTTTTCTGTTTATGTGATACTGAGGAATTGAACCCAGGGCTCCATGCATGCTAGGCAAGAGCTCTACCACTAAGCCATATTCCCAGCCCAATTAATTTTTTTTTAAGTTCCTTTTTATGTTTTAAGTAATTCCTTTACTGATTTTAATCAAAATTTTAATTCAGCCGAGCGCTAGTGGCTCATAATCCTAGCTACTCAGAAGGTTGAGATCTGAGGATCACTGTTCATAGTCAGCCTAGGCAGGAAAGTCCGCAAGACTCTAATCTACAATTAACCACCAGAAAACCGAAAGTGGCACTGTGGCTCAAGTGGTAGAGCACTCCCATTGAACTGAAGAGCTGAGGGACAGCACCCAGGCCCAGAGTTCAAGCCCCACAACCCACACACACAAAAATAATAATTCAGACACCATTTTATGTAACTTCAGTTTTGGTCTATCTTGTTTTTTTTTTTATTTTTATGCCAGTCCTCGGCCTTGAACTCAGGGCCTGAGTGCTGTCCTTGAGCTTATTTTTGCTCAAGGCTAGTGCTCTAAAACTTGAGCTGCAGCTCCACTTCCAGATTTTGGAGGGTAATTTATTGGAGATGAGTCTCATGGACTTTACTACCCAGGCTGGGTCAAACCATAATCATCAGTTGTCATCTTCCTGAGTAGTTAGGATTACAGACAGGAGCCACCATGCCTAACTTTGTTTTATTTTTATGTGCCAGTCCTAGAGCTTGAACTTGAGGCCTGGGTGCCATCCCTGAGCTTTTTTTTTTTTTTTCCCTCTTAACATTAGGGCTCTACCACTTGAATCATATCTCCACTTCCAGTTTCTTGGTACTTGATTAGAAAGAAGAATCTTACTGACTTTCCTGCCCAAGCTGACTTTGAACCATGATTCTCAGATCTCAGCCTCCTGAGTAGCTAGGATTACAGGTGTGAGAAATTTTTAATTGATAGAACATGATAACTTAGGGGCTGGGAAGGTGGCTCGGTGGTAGAGTGCTTGCCTTTTATACATGAGGCCATGAGTTCGATTCCTGAGCACCACATAAACAGAAAAAGCTGGAAGTGGCCCTGTGGCCCAGGTGGTAGAGCACTAACTAGCCTTGAGCTGAAGAGCTGATGAGCTGAGGGATAGCACCCAGACCTAGAGTTCAGGCCCCAGGACTGGAAAAAAAAAAAAAAAAGAAAGAAAGAACATGATAACTTATATGCATGATGTTTACAAAGTGACCTCACAAAGTTTTTTGTTTTTTGTTTTTTGTTTTTTTTTGGTCGGTCGTGGGGCTTGAACTCTGGGCCTGGGTGCTGTCCCTCAGCTCTTCAGCTCAAGGCTAGCGCTCTACCACTTGAGCTACAGCGCCTCTTCCGGTTTTTTCTGCTTATGTGGTGCTGAAGAATCGAACCCAGGGCCTCATGCATGCAAGGCAAGCCTTTTCCCCTGAGCCACCTTCCCAGCCCTGTTTTTTGTTTTTTTTTGGTCGGTCGTGGGGCTTGAACTCTGGGCCTGGGTGCTGTCCCTCAGCTCTTCAGCTCAAGGCGAGCGCTCTACCACTTGAGCTACAGCCCACTTCCGGTTTTCTAGTGGTTTTATTGGAGATAGGAGTCTCACGGTCTCTCCTGCCCAGGCTGGCTTTGAACCGCGATCCTCAGATCTCAGCCTCCTGAGTAGCTAGGATTACAGGCGTGAGCCACCAGCGCCCGGCTTCACAAAGTTTTATTATAAGGCAATACCTTATTGTGAACCATGTGCTGTTTTAGAAAAACTAAAGTAGAACTGGGATGCAGCTCAGTAAAGCACTTGACTAGCATGTGTGAGCCCTGAGTTCCACCCCTACAACTGCCCCCCTCCAAAAGCAAAATGAAATAGACCTTTTCAAGTCATGATTCTTTTGGTTGTCTGGGTATATTTTGCCCATCCCCAAATTGGGTATAGCTTTCTTCTTGTTCTGTTTTGCAATTATAGGAAAATAAGTCTAGATTATATTTTCAGAGTTAGTATCATTTTGATTTCTACATAAATAGTAAAGTGAAATGCCTGGGGTTTTTGGTACCAATACCAGAGCTTGAACTCAGAATCTTGCACTCACCTGGCTTTTTCACTCAAGGCTGACATTCTACCCTTGAGCCACATCTTGCTCTGGCTAGCATCAAACTGCATTCCTCAGAGTTTAGCCTCCTGAGTAGCTGGGATTACAGGCATGAGCCATCAATACCTGGCCTTCCTTCTTTTTGTGCAGTTGTAAAAGTACCATTTTTTAATGTAGATGTCATGTTTTACTTTATCATTTACTTTATTATTTGCCCTTCATCTAGTTTTATGTTCTGCATATGCATGCGATTTCAGTTCTAACATTAACATTGGTTCTGTGAGCTGCTTTCCAGCTTTCAGGATGCCAGCCTGCCCCTGAAGGTTATTCCCCAACACTTCAGTGGCAACAGCAACAAGTAGCACAGTTTTCAAGTGTTCGACAGGTAAGTGCTATATTTCTTCAGTTTCTGTTCTTAGACCATGATGAAAATGTATGATCCTCAAGTATACAGAATATTTGTGAATCAGCTTGCCAAGTTATTGTTATAATTATTAGGAATATTATAGCGTGTAGTAAAATTTCTAAGTTTTAGGGTGGCTGGAATTTGCACAGGAACTGGCTTCTCTTTAGATATGCATCCTCTAAAGACCACTGTCTAAATTTTCTTCTTTTAGAGTGTGAACAAGCATAGAAGCCACTGGAAAGCACAGCAGTTGGATAGTAATGTAACTATGGTATGAAAGTTTCTCTATGTAAATTGGATGATGTATACCTGCATGAACTTTATTCATATATTCAGTCATATTATTTTTACTTTAATCAGACCAATTCTGTTATAACAGTAGATTGAACAACAGAGTCAGTAGGATGGATTGTTAATATTTTGGCTATTTTAATTCCCCATACCTTGGGAGAATTGTGAAAGAAATCAAAATGGTCTACTAAACAAAAGGGTAAATTATTCATGAGGCCAAATATTACCCAAAATATCTGATATAATATTCCTAAATTTTGTCTTTACAACTCCCAAAAGCCAGGTACCAGTGGTTCACACCTATAATCCTAGCTTCTCAGGAGGCTGTTCACACCTATAATCCTAGCTTCTCAGGATGGCAGTTCCAAGCTAGCCCAGGCTAGAAACTCCTTGAGACTCTTGTCTTCAAACAACAACCAAGAAACTGGAAATGCTATGGCTCAAGTGGTAGAGTGCTAGCCTTGAGCAAAAAAGCTCAGGGGCAGTACCTAAGCCTTGAGTTTGAGCACCATGACCAGCACATATATACATACACAACCAAAAAAAAAAATCAATAAATTAAAACAAACTTTTACTAGTCTCAGCCTCTTTGAATACACCATATTTTACTGTGGTACATATTCTCATTGCAGTGCTCTACTGTACCCAAGTAAATACTCTGGAGAATTTTTTTTTTTAATTTAGTTTGGCAAATAAGTGATTCTTTGGCCTGTATAGGTTATTCAGGATTCTCCTATACTATTATTTTTTTATGAAATATGTTACCAATATTTAAAAGATGGTATACAACCTTATTAGACTTTCCTGATGAAATAATATGCCCTACGGTAAACTCTTTTGTTGTTTTGGTAGAGGGGTTTGTTGTTTTTTGTGTTGTTCAAGGTCTTGAATTCAAGGTCTGGGCATTATCCCTAAACTTTTTTGCTCAATGCTAATACTCTTAACACTCTCCACTTTTGGCTTTTATTTAGCCAGTTCCTTAGAGGTTAAGAGTCTCATGGACTTTGCTGTACCCAGTGGCTCTGAACCGTAATCCGCAGCTCTTGGCTTCCTGATTAGCTAGGATTGCAGACATTACACCATGAGCAAGTGGCTCCCAGTAGTGAATCTTGATATATTCAGTGTTATCTGTTTCACAGTAACATGATATGACACATGTCATATATATTGGATCTCATCTTTGTTTGGTTTATTTGATCAGTCATGGGGCTTGAACTTAGGGCCTAGGTGCTGTTACTGAGTTCTTCTGCTCAAGTCTAGCTAGCACCACTTCTGGTTTTCTCATAGTTAATTGGAAATAAGAGTCTCCTCATGGCCTTTTCTGCCCAGGCTGGCTTTGAGCCTTGATCCTCAGAACTCAGCCTCCTGAGTAGCTAGGATTACAGGCATAAACCACCAGCACCCAGCTTGAATCTCATCTTAACAACTTAGTTATCATTGTAAACTCTTCAGAAGGTACATTAGCATTTCCAAATGAAAAGAACAGCTAGGAAATTATTTTTAACTTTTTAAGGAATCATATTATTTCTGAGCATCTAATGAAAGCTATTGTTCTATTTGCACACATTAGATGTATTTGGAGGTAATTATGGCATTTCCACACATGTATACAACATATCCCATTCAAAATCAACTCTGCATCATTTTCCCTTCCCTACCTCCCTGGCTTTGAAAATAACAAATTTTATTCTAGTTTTATACGTGAAAACAACTACTTCCACCGTGTTCATCTTCTTCATTTACATTCTACTCTCTCTGGTATCCACCTTCCCAACAAAACCATTTTACTTTCCTGTCTTTCCTAATGAAAACTATTGATCTTCTGTTGTGTCCAGATTTCCCCTAATAAAGACACCACTTTCAGTGATTTAGAGTCAGGTACTGGCTGCTCATGCCTGTAATCCTAGCTACTCAAAAGGCTGAGATCTGAGGATTGCAGTTTGGAGCCAACTTGGGCTGTTTGAAAGTCCATGAAACTTTTAGCTCCAATAGTCACCAAAATAGTCAGAATTGGAGCTGTGGCTCAGGTAGTATAGTAGAACCCTAGCCTTAAGCAAAAAAAGCTCATAGATAGTGCCAAGGTCCTGAGTTCCTAAATTCAGTTCTCAGGATTGGCAAAAAAAAAAAAAAAAAAGAGGTTTAGAGTTCACATAAATTTAATCAGTTTCTAAAAAAATAAAAATAAAAAATAAAATAAATAAATTTAATCACTTTCTTAATGGCCCTGTTTCCCAGTGCAGTCACAGTACAAAGGTGAGGGCTTCCACATAGGAGTCCAGAGGGCATATAGGTGTGCCTATGACTGGCATCGTATCTTTGTGTTGAGGTGTGGGAATGTAAGGGTGCTCATTTCTTTCTATGCTGTTCAGTATAAAAATAAGTACACATGTGTGTGTGTGTATATATATAAGTAATGTACTATATAAATGCAATATAATTTTGTAAAATAAGTAAATTTTTTCCCTTTCAGCCAAAGTCAGAAGATGAAGAAGGCTGGAAAAAATTTTGTCTGGGTGAAAGGTTATGTGCTGAAGGGGCTATTGGACCAGCTACAAATGAAAATCCTGGAATCGATTATGTACAAGTACGTGATAAGTGCATACGCAACACAAAGAATGTTCTCATTCTGGTATGCCAGTAGTGTTAAGGTGTCAGCAAACTACAAATCGGACCAAATTTGAACCACAAACTATTTTTGTTGTTGTTGTTCGTTGTGGGGGCTGAACTCTGGGCCTGGGCACTGTCCCTCAGCTCTTCAGCTCAAGGCTAGCACACGCCACTTCCGGCTTTTTTCTTTTTGCTTATGTGGTTCTGAGGAATCGAACCCAGGGCCTCAGGCATGCAAGGCAAGCGCTCTACCACTGAGCCACCTTCCCAGCCCCTTCATATCTTTTTTTATTATTTTTTTTACTGACTTTAAGTGATTACATAAATTTCAGTTTTGTGGGATAGTGATACTTAGCTAAAGTCACAAACACATTTTATTCTTCACAAGGTGAATTGTCATTATTTTCATCTCTCTTATGTTTTGGCTCTATAATAATTTTACAAGTTGTATAGGATTCAGTTCAGAGGTTTTTGGTGTTTCTTGGTCAATCCTGGGGCTTGAACTCACCAGCCTGGTCACTGTCCTTGAGATTTTTTGCTCTAGGCTAGCACTATACCACTTTAAGCTGTGTGTGTGTGTGTGTGACCTGGTGTGTGTGTGTGTGTGTGACCTGGTGTGTGTGTGTGACCTGGTGTGTGTGTGTGACCTGGTGTGTGTGTGTGACCTGGTGTGTGTGTGTGTGTGACCTGGTGTGTGTGTGTGACCTGGTGTGTGTGTGTGACCTGGTGTGTGTGTGTGTGTGACCTGGTGTGTGGTGTGTGTGTGTGTGACCTGGTGTGTGTGTGTGTGTGTGACCTGGTGTGTGTGTGTGACCTGGTCTGGTGTGTGTGTGTGTGTGTGACCTGGTATGTGTGTGTGTGTGTGACCTGGTGTGTGTGTGTGACCTGGTGTGTGTGTGTGTGTGACCTGGTGTGTGTGTGTGTGTGACCTGGTGTGTGTGTGTGTATGTGACCTGGTATGTGTGTGTGTGTGTGACCTGGTGTGTGTGTGTGACCTGGGCGTTGTCCCTCAGCTCTTCAGCTCAAGGCTAGGGCTTGAGCTAAGGGCTTCAGCTAAGGCTAGTGACTACAACGCTACTACCAGTTTTTTCTGTGTATGTGGTGCTGAGGAATCAAACCCAGAGCCTCATGCATAGGAGGCAAGCACTCTACCACTGAGCCACCTTCCCAGCCCTTCTGGCATTTTTTATGGTAAAATTTATTTAGTCACAAAATATAAAGGGCTTTTAAAAACTATAAAAAAGACCAAGAATACTCCATTTGAAAAACAAAAAATGGGATACACATAGACATCCCACAGTAATGAAGTACAGATTATTCTTACAGTGGAAGATGCCCCACCTGGCTCATAATAGAACCATAACTTGCTCTGGTGATGACTTACCATTTTTCAGAAACACTATGTTGACAAAAACTGAGGAAACAAGTATTCAAACATGTAATGTAGTAGTATAAGTAGACATTTAAGCTTTTCTGACACTTTCTTATACAATGTGTTCTTCTTTTAGATACTATCCACTGCTATACTTTACAAAATTTAAGCCAGCTGGGCCCTGGTGGCTCATGCCTGTAATCCTAGCTACTCAGGAGGCTGAGATCTGAGGATCTTGGTTCAAAGCCACACCCGCCAGAAAAGTCCATGAGATTCTATCTCCAGTTAACCACTAGAAAACCGGAAGTGACACTGTGGCTCAAGTGATATAGCCCTCACCTTAAGCTGAAGAGCACAGGAATAACACTCAAATCCAGAGTTTTAGCCCCACAACTGACAGAAAAAAAAAATTTAAGCCAGACATTGATGGCTCATGCCTGTAAATCTAGCTACTCAGGAGACTGATTGCTGAGGATCACAGTTCAAAACCAGCCTGGGCAGGAAAGTCTGAAAAGTCTTTTTTTTTTTTTGCCAATCCTGGGGCTTGAACTGTCAGGGCCTGGGCACTGTCCCTGAGCCTCTCTGGGCTCAAGGCTAGCACTCTACCACTTGAGCCACAGTGCCACGTCCGGCTTTTTCTGTGTATGTGGTATTGAGAAATTGAACCCAGTGCCTCATGCATGCTAGGCAAGCACTCTACTGCTAAGCCACCTTCCCATCCCAATCTGAGAGTCTTATCTCCAATTAACTACCAGAAAACGAGAAGTAGAGCTGTGGCTCAAGTGGTAGAGCACCACCTTGAGCTGAAAACCTCAGGGACAGCACCCAGACCCTAAATTCAAGCCCCATGACCAACAACAAATAAACATTTAAACTTACTAAAGAGTTAATATTTGTTTGGTTTGTTATCACAGTAAACTATGCAAGTAAAATATGTTGTCTCATGGTGTCTCGTGATTGCTTTCTAAGGTTCTTTGTCTTTTTCTTTTTTGGTACTGGGGATCGAACCCAGGACATTGCACTTGCTAGGCAAGTGCTTTGCCACTGAGCTACATCCCAGCCCTATCTAAGCTTCTTTGGAGGTAGAGAAGGATCGCAGTTTGAGGCCAGACGGGAAAAAAAGTTAGCCAGACTTAGTTCATGACTTAGAATGGACATGAAGGACTTTTGTTTGATGCAGTACTAATGATTGAATCCAGTGTGTCAGGCATATTAGGCAAACACTGAATCACATTGTCAGCCCCAGAAGTCATCTTTTATCTGTTCTTTTTCCCAAACAAGGAGTATGGAAAGGAATGTACTATTTTGGGAGAAAAAATAAAATCTTCCTTGTAATTCCAATTAATAATTCTCAGTCTTCTTTCTTTCAGATTGGTTTTCCTCCCTTGCTTAGTATTGTAAGCAGAATGAATCAGGTAAATTATAGTAAAATAATAGTATCTACATTCTTTTGTTTACAGTATTATGGAAGTATTTGAGTATATTTTGTGTATTTAGTGTGTGGTATGTAAGAAGTTGTTCTAAGCTCCTTGGGGTTTATATGTAATCCTTACTATATCTCTTGTAGGGACTTACCTTATATTTAATCCTTACTATATCTCTTGTAGGGACTTACCAATAATGGTTTTTGGTTTTTGGTTTTTTTGCCAGTGAGTTTCTTTTGCTCAATGCTAGTGCTCTACCACTTCAGCCACAGTGCCACTTCTAGCTTTTTCTGTGTATAAGGTACTGAGGAATCGAACCCAGAGCTTCATGCATGCAAGGCAAGCACTTTACCACTAAGCCACATTCCCAGCCCCTTATAATGTTTTTGTTTTTGTTTTTAATAGATGAGGAAATAAAATCCAAGGCTGAATTACTTGCATGTGGCTTTTCAGAAAATAAGTGACAGCACTGAAAAAAAAATGGCAGGTTGATTTGATTCAAAGTTCTTGTTCCTGATAGGATACTAAATTAGTGATGTGTGTATATTTCAGTTTTAAGTCTGAGATTCTGAGGCTTACAGTAAATATTACTTCCAGATTGGCATTTGTGTGTGTGTGTGTGTGTGTGCGCGCACACACATGCATGTGTGCGTGTGCGTGCGCTCATGCACACACTACTACTGGGCTTGAATTCAGGACCTTACACGCTTAGCTTTTTTGCTCAAGGCTACCACAGGAGCCTTTTCTGCCCAGATTGGCTTCAAACCTCAATCCTCAGATCTCAGCCTCCAGAGTAGGATTACAGAATTATTTTTATTTTACTTTTTTTTTTGTAAGTGGTGGGGCTTGAACTCTGGGCCTGGGCGCTGTCCCTGAGCTATTCAGCTCAAGGGGAGTGCTCTACCACTTGACCTACAGCTCCACTTCTGGTTTTCTGGTGGTTAATTGGAGATAAGAGTCTCATGGACATTCTTGCCCGGGCTGGCTTTGCACCACAATCCTCAGATCTCAGCCTCCTGAGTAGCTAGGATTATAGCTGTGAGCCACCATACCCAGCTAAGACTTGTTTTTTTGAGAGTATGAACTTGCTAGGTGACACTGAGATTTACTATATTAATAACCTGACTTCTGGAATTGAAACACTTTTATACAGCTACCTAAAATTAAAACAGTCTGAAGTTTCTCAGTAGTTAAACACTGAATTGGTTGTTACAAACTAAGTTCTAGGATTTAAATCAAAGCCTTGATACTTAAGCGTATAAGATTATTTCTCGGGGCTGGGAAGGTGGCTTAGTGGTAGAACAGTTGCCTTGCATGCCTGAGGCCCTGGGTTTGATTCCTCAGCACCACATAAGCAAAAAGGAAAAATTATTTCTCTTAAAAGCCTCTTCCAACTAGATAATTGTCTAGTGAAGTTTCTAAGTAGGGCCATAGTTTTCTTTGAAGTTCTAAAAAATTTAAACATCAGAATTGCTAACTTTCTGGAACACTTGTCAGTGTTTTTTACTAATACAATTATTCTGCATCCCATCTTTTTAATTTTTTTATTTTTTAGGCAACAGTAACTAGTGTGTTGGAATATCTGAGCAATTGGTTTGGAGAAAGAGACTTCACTCCAGAATTGGTAGTATTGCATCTTTTGTTCTCTTAAGGCAGGCAAAATTATGTATACAACTACAGTAAGAATCTCAGTAATGACCCATTTGATAGTCAGAGAATATTTGAAGTCTACAATGCCCTGTACCTATTATGACAGGACAGAAGAGACATCACTTGGTTCTCCAGGTGATCCTTTGTTGTACATATCATACCACAGTTAAATGTCTTATGAACTTACTCGTAGCAAATTGGCAAGTACAATCTCGGGCCTGTAGATAATAAATGAAATTTATGGTTCAAGAGCTGTCTGCTGAGGGCTGGGAAGGTGGCTCAGTGGTAGAGTGCTTGCCTTGCATGCACAAGGCCCTGGGTTTGAGTCTTCAGTACCACATAAGCAGAAAAGGCCAGAAGTGGCGCTGTGGCTCAAGTGTTAGAGCACTCACCTTGAGCTGAATAGCTGAGGGACAGCGCCCAGCCCCAGAGTTCAGGCCCCATGACCAACAACAAAAAAAAAGCTGTCTACTTACTTTTTAAATTTTTCTTTAGGGACGGTGGTTTTATGCTTTGTTGGCTTGCCTTGAAAAACCCTTGTTACCTGAGGCTCACTCACTAATTCGGCAGCTGGCAAGAAGGTGCTCTGAAGTGAGGCTTTTGGTGGTAAGTTACTCCTCACTGTTGCAAATTAAAAGCATCTGCCAATCTGTATGGTGCAATATGTCTTAGTTGGAATTAGAGGCCACAAAAACAGAAAGATGCCAAATTATAGTAAGTCCAATTAAGATGTTTTCCTCAGATAAAGGAAAACTAAAGGTGGGCAAATGAGATCTAAAATGACAATAGTCTTTACCTTTCATTCTTCCCTTTTGATTTCCATTCCTATTTTAGTCCATTTTGTGTTTTCCATTGAGGGGATTGAATCCCATGCTAGGCAAGCCTTCTCTCATTAGCTTCTTTCCCAGCCTGAAAAGAGGTACTTCAGTTTTGGAGGCTGAAAGCTCAAGGTCACAGGCTCCATCTGTTCAGTCACCACATGGCAGGAGTGAGTGCAAGCGCAGCTAGCGGGGAAGTACCAGGCTCACTTTGTAACACCCCCTCACCCTTGGCAAAGCTAATCTCAGAGATAATCTTAAATGCTTCTTTTGTGGTCTTTAACTCTGAGATTTTTCTCCTCTTCCTTGGAGGGTTCTTTTTGCCACATCATGATTGTCATCTAATAAATATTTCATATTTTCAATAGAAATAAAATGAAACTTATTGTAAAAACAGCCCTTTTTTTTGTTTTTTTCCAGGACAGCAAAGATGATGAAAGAGTTCCTGCTTTGAACTTATTAATCTGCTTGGTTAGCAGGTATAGTTTAAGTAAATTTGAACTTCTTATTTATTAACGAGGGTCGAACATGTTTAATTTTGTTGCATTTGTATGTTTTAATTAATCTTTGGTTCACTTCAATTGATGAGCTCATGCTCTTTTTTTGGTTGTTTTGTTTTTGGGTTTTTTTTTTTTTCCCCAGTCCTGGGGCTTGAACTCAGGGCCTGGACACTGTCCTTGAGCCTCTCTGTGCTCAAGGCAAGCACTCTACCACTTGACCCACAGTACCACATCTGGCTTTATCTGTTTATGTGGTACTGAGTGCTAGAGTGCTAGGCAAGCACTCTACCACTAAGCCACATTCCCAGGCTGTCCCTGAGCTTTTTCCACTCAAGACAAGCACTCTACCTCTTTGAGTTATAGTGCCACTTCCAGTTTCCTGGTGATTAACTGGAGATAAAAGTCTCATGAACTGGGGCTGGGAAGTTGGCTCAGTGGTAGAGCGCTTGCCTTGCATACCTGAGGCCCTGGGTTCGATTCCTCAGCACCACATAAGCAAAAAAGAAAAAAGCTGGAAGTGGTGCTGTGACTCAAGTGGTATAGTGCTAGCCTTGAGCTGAAGAGCTGAGGGACAGCGCCCAGGCCCAGAGTTCAGGCCCCACGACTGGACCCAAAAAAAAAAAAAGTCAAAGTGCTGACCCTGAGCTTTTTAAAAAAAAGTCTCATGAACTTTCCTGCCTGGACTGGCTTCAAACCATCATCCTCAGATCTCAACCTCCTTAGTAGCTAGGATTACAGCTGTGAGCCACCAGCGCCTGCTGAACATACATACATACATGTATATATATATATACTTTTTTTTTTTTTTTGGTCATGGCCTGGGCACTGTCCCTCAGCTCTTCAGCTCAAGGCTAGGGCTGTTCCACTTGAGCCACAGAACCACTTCCAGTTTTCTGTTGGTTTATTGAACATAAGCGTCTCACGGTTGTTCCTGCCCAGGCTGGCTTTGAACCACGATCCTGATACCAGCATCCTGAGTAGCTAGGATTACAGGCATGAGCCACTGGTGCCCAGCTTGAACAACTATTTTCTTTTTTTGTTGTTGTTGTTGCTTTTTTTTGGGTCCGGTCATGGGGCCTGAACTCTGGGCCTGGGCACTATCCCTCAGCTCTTCAGCTCAAGGCTAGCGCTCTACCACCTGAGCCACAGCACCACTTCCGGCTTTTTTCTTTTTGCTTATGTGGTGCTGAGGAATCGAACCCAGGGCCTCATGCATTCAAGGCAAGCGCTGTACCACTGAGCCACCTTCCCAGCCCCAACTATTTTCTTAATCAACAATAATTATGTTGTTAATAATAGTTAACATTTACTAGGCACTTAGTGCCAAGCATTCTTTTGCATTATAATATGAACTTATTTATTCCCTACATGGAAGGTACAACATCAGTTTACAGATAAGAAAAACAAGACAGAGAAGGCAACAGCTTTCCTACATTTCTACCATCCCAGAGCTAGCAAATGGTACAGCTGGCAACCAGATAGCTTATCTCACAACTATGCTGTTTTGTTTGTTCTGATTGAATTCAAAGCTCTACCACTTGAGCCACACTCTCAATTGCAAAAGCCAAGGAAAATAGTACATTTCTTTTTTGACAATATCACCTCCTTCCCTCACTCCCAGTTTTTACAACTATTTTTGCAATACATCAGGCTATATTTTTCAAGATGAAGATGTAGATTTAGAAATGGTACCATAGCCGGGTGCCAGTGGCTCACGCCTGTAATCCTAGCTACTCAGGAGGCTGAGATCTGAAGATCACAGTTCAAATCCAGCCCAGGCAAGAAAGTCTGTGAGATCTGATCTCTAATTAACTGTCAGAAAACCAGAAGTGGTGCTGTGGCTCATGTGGTAGAGCGCTGTCCTTGAGCTGAAGAGCTGAGGGACAGTGCCCATGTCCAGAGTTCAAGGCCATGACTGACAAAAACAAAAAGAAAGAAATGGTAAATAGTAAATAAAGCCAGAGATTTAAACTAGTTTCTGGGTAATGACTGAAATTTTACCATATTATATGATTATAAAAGCATAAATGTTCAAGTGTATTGCTTATGATTTTTCCCCCTCAAAAAGTTAGATAAGGGCTGGGAAGGTGGCTCAGTGGTAGAGTGCTTGCCTCGCATGCATGAGGCCCTGCGTTCGATTCCTCAGCACCACATAAGCAGAAAAAGCCAGAAGTGGCGCTGTGGCTCAAGTAGTAGAGTGCTAGCCTTGAACTGAAGAGTTGAGGGACAGTGCCCATGCACAGAATACAGGCCCCATGACCGACAGAAGAAAAAAAAAGTTAGATAAAAGCCAGGCACCAGTGGCTCACACCTAATCCTAGCTACTCAAGAGGTTAAGATCTGAGGTTGCAGTTCTAGGCTACCCCAGACAGGAAAGTCTCTGAAACTCTGATCTCCAATTAACTACCAAAAAAGCTGGAAGTAGAGCTGTAGCTCAAATGATAGCATCCTAGCCTTGAACACAAAAGCTTAGAGACAGCTCCCATGCCCTAAGTTCAAGCCTTAGCACTGACACAAGAGGGAGGTAAAGAAGTTAGATCAAAGGAACTAGCAGACTTGCTTCAGTGATTAAAAAACAAAACAAAAACTAGACACCTGCTTAGCAAGTATAAGGTCCTGAGTAAAAACCCCAGTACCAGATTTTTGTTTCCAGTCAGCCATATTCCCAGCCCACCAGATTTTTTTTTTAATCATAAAAATAGAATCCAAGATTCTGAAGCTATAGGCTTTACTTAAAAGGATCTATAGTGGCAGGCAAGAGGGTTGCAATTAAGGCTAGCAGGGGTTAGGTTTAATTGCAAATAAACCTAAATAAGTAAGACTTAATAGAAGATTGTAGCAGATTTGAAGAAATGTCTTATCTTTTAGCTTAAATGTAAGTATCAGATATTGCTTCAACCCTTCTGTTTTCTTGTTTATATGAGTACTTTTAAGGGAATAACTGCTAATTATCTTTCAAGCTTCTTATTATGGAGATTTTCAGACACATACAAATGTGATAAAATTAAAACCCTAAATCCACCCATCACCCAAGAGTTGTTAACCATTATTCAACTGTTATTGATTTCAACAGAGCGTATTTTTTTCTCCCTATCATTTGTTTAATACATTTTAAACAATTCCCAGATGCTGCTGTTGTTTACCTATAGCAAACCTGTTTAATAATCCTATAATATCATCTGGTGCCTAGCCCATGTTTCATATTCTCTAACCATCCTGAAAATTTTTAAATTTTTTAAAATTTTAAATTTTCTATTTCTAGAATTTCTAATTTTATATTTTCAACTGAACTTGGGTTACTAAGACTGCAAAAAGTTAAACAATGCATCAGTAATAAAACCTTAAAACTTAGGACAGAGCTAGGCTCAAGTCTGTAATCCTAGCTAATCAGGAGGCTGAGAGCTGAGTTAGTGAGACTCTTATCTCCAATAAAAAACAGAAGTGGCCTGTGGTTCAAGTAGTAGAGCTCTGGCCTTGAGCTGAAGAGCTGAGGGGCAGCACCCAGGCCCGGAGTTCAAACGCCATGACCAACAACAACAAAAAAATAAAGCCTAGCACTAGTGACTCATGCCTATAATCCTAGCTATTCTGGAGGCTGAAATCAGAGGATCACAATTCCAAGAAAGCCCCAGGCAGGAAAATTGTAAGACTCTTACCTCCAATAAACCACTTAGAAAAACCTGGAAGTGGAGCTGTGGCTCAGTGGTATAGTGCTAGCCTTAATCTAGAAGCTCAGGGACAATGGGCAGACAGGCCCCATGCCAAAAACAAAAATAAAACCATGTGTCCTCTATATGGTTATGTATGCATGTACACCCTGGGGCCTGGATGCTGACCGTGACCTGTTTTTGCTCAATGCTAGCACTCTACTATTTGAGCCACAGCACCACTTCCAACTCCCTGTCTGCCCCTCCACTTCACCTGCCCCCCTCCCCGCCCAGTTGTGGGGCCTGAACTCTGCCTGGGCGCTGTCCCTCAGCTCTTCAGCTCAAGGCTAGTGCTCTACCACTTGAGCCACAGAGCCACTTCGGCTTTTTCTGCTTCTGTGGTGCTGAGGAATAGAACCTCATGCATTCATTCAAGGCAAGCACTCTACCAACTGAGCCACCTTCCCAGCCCCCACTTCCAACTTTTTGGGTAGTTTATTGGAGATAAGAGACTCACGGACATTTCTGTCCAGGCTGGATTCGGACCTCAATCTCAAATCTCAGCCTCTTGAGTAGTTAGGATTGCAAGCATGAGCCACCAGTGTCTAGCAGTGTCCAACTATTTCTGAGACTGGGTTCACTGTTGGTCCCTGCCTCCTAAGTAACTGGGATTACAAATGTTGTCACCATGCCCAGCTCCTCACCCATTTTTTAGGAATAATCACCTCCCATTATATAGATACGCTGTCAGTTATTCAATTAGTCCCCTTATTGAAAAGATATTTCATTTGTGTTCTTTGGCTGATACAAGCAGTGCTATAATATATTTGTACATACACTGAATTTTCTTTTCACTAGGTATTTTGACCAGCGTGATTTAGCTGATGAGCCATCTTGATATTGCTGATCTCTCAGTGACAGAAGGTAATTCTGCTGAAGACAGCCTAAATTTGAGGAAGTATTGGGAACTCGAGTACAGATTACATCACTTCTTCAACACTCTGAAGGGCCTTCACCATGTACCTCAAGTGCATGTCCAGGATGTAGATTGGCTGAAATATGTGGAAAATTCCACCTGGTAGTCAGTGAACTGTTTGTATTGCTTTCCGCAGTCACATGCATTTGAAAGTATCATTTATCCTCAAAGCAGCCTGCACAGGAACTTTACAATGAAGTTTTATAGAGGTCCTTGGTGCTGCTTCATTGTTTAAACTTTTTAAAGAAAATGTGTTTGGGTTATTCATATTTTGACTTTTGAACAAAATAAACCACAATGATTGTCGTGAATATTATAATTAAAATAAGAGTCTAAATGCAAATTTATTTAAAACTAATCAAGTAGTCTCTTTTAAATTTAACACTTGTTTATTTGTTTTGTTGTGTGTTTTTGTCCATTGTGAGGCTTGAACTCTGGGCCTATACGCTGTCCCTGAGCTCTTCAGCTCAAGACAAGCACTCTGCCACTTAAGCCACAGCGCCACTTCCAATTTTCTGGTGGCTTATTGGAGATAAAGAGTCTCATGGTCTTTCCTACCCAGACTGGCTTTGAACAGCATCCTCAGATCTCAGCCTCCTAAGTAGCTAGGATTACAGGCATGAGCCACTGGTGCCTGGCAATACTTTTATAAGTGCTTTTTTTTTTTAATCTTTTGCAAGCAAATCAACTTCAGTAATACTCTGATAGGTCAAGTGTTTAACTTTTCTGTCAATCTGTTTATAAAACACTTATAATTTATTTATACTTTTTCCTTTAATAACAAAAGGTACAGGCAATATTGGTTACTCAAAGTAGGAGTGTACTTTTTTCATAGAATAGCAAGTCTGAAGAACTGGCCAGGGCTGGGAAGGTGGCTCAGTGGTAGAGAGCTTGCCTTGCATGCTGAGGCCCTGGGCTCGATTCCTCAGCACCACATAAACAAAAAGAAAAAAAGCCAGAAGTGGCGCTGTGGCTCAACTGGTAGAGAGCTAGCTTTAAGTTGAAGAGCTGAGGGGCAGCGCCCAGGCCCAGAGTTCAGACCTTATGATAGACCCAAAAACAAAAAACAACAACTGGCCGTTAACACTGGTTCAAGGCCTTCATGATATCCAGATCTCTGTCCTTCTTTTAGCTCTTCCCTCATGGTGGCAAGACTGCTGCTTCAGTCTGGGCATCCTGGTACCTACTAGCCCAGGCTAGCCTCAAACTCTTAATCCTCCTGCCTCAGGACCCTGAGTAATAGGTGTGTACTATCATACCCAGTCACATTGCCAGCCTTAACAGAAGTAGGTTCCATTAAAAAAGGCATAAAGAAAAAAAAAAAGTCATAAGGTGTTGGGTGGGCAGCTAACAGTCTCTACCATAAAGAGTTTAATTTACCAGCCTGCACCACAACTAGCTATAATAGTGTCACTTTTTTTTTTTTTTACTGTATCAGTACTGTGGACTTATATAATAAAGGCAAATCATCAATTGTTTTTAACTTTCTTTTATAGTGGCCAAACATAAATTTATGCATGCTATTCACAGAGAAGAAAAGTTTTCTGAGAACTAGTTTAACACTAAAAATAAGATAATGTCACCAGATACCAAGGGCTTATGGCAGAAAATTCCTTAAGACTCTATCTAGTTAACCACAAAATGCTAGACTGGGAGTATGGCTCAAGTGGTAGAGTGCCAGCCATGAGCAAAAAAGCTGAGCAAGAACATGAGGCCCTGGAAACCATGCATGGACTAGTACAAAAAAAAAGCTATTTTCCATGTGCAATAGATAAAAGGTTTTGTTTTGATATTTTACCTTAATCCAGTTCCATCTCTATAGGCAAGTTGAAGGATTTCTGTTACCATGAAATGCCATTTTTGCATTTCTTTTGGGTCCAGTCGTGGGGCCTGAACTCTGGGCCTGGGCGCTGTCCCTCAGCTCTTCAGCTCAAGGCTAGCGCTCTACCAGTTGAGCCACAGCGCCACTTCCGGCTCTTTTCTTTTTGCTTATGTGGTGCTGAGGAATCGAACCCAGGGCCTCAGGCATGCAAGGCAAGCGCTCTACCACTGAGCCACCTTCCAGGCCTCATTTTTGCATTTTTTTACTCTTGGCAATACTGGCGTTTCAACTCAGCTTCATGCCTGCTAGGCAGATGCTCTAACACTTGAGCCACATCTCAGCCGTTTTTGCTTTATTTTCTGAGGTAAGGTCTCATTTCCCCAGGCTGACCTCAGACCCCATTCCTATCTATGCTTCCTATGTGCTGAGATTAGTTACAAGCCATCAAACCTAGTTTATGTGTTGAGTTGGGGGTAGGGATCTTCACTAGCTTTTTTGCCCACGATGCCTTTGAACTACAGTCCTTGAAATCAGCCAAGTAGCTGGGACTGCCACTTGAATAGCTAGAATTACAAGCATGTACTAACACATCCAGCTCCAAAAATCAAATTTTTTTACTCAATTTAGCACAGTAGCATTTTTCAGGAGCACAAAGACAAATATCAACATTGTAAACTACAGAAGTAGTCATTTTAAAACAAAAGGGAGGGACTGGGAAGATGGCTCAGTGGTAGAACACTTGCCTTGCATGCCTGAGGCCCTGGGTTCAATTCCTCAGCACTACATAAGCAAAAAGAAAAAAGCCGGAAGTGGTGCTGTGGCTCAAGTGATAGAGCGCTAGCCTTGAGCTGAAGAGCTGAGGGCCAGTCCCAGGCCCAGAGTTCAGGCCCCATAACTAGACCCAAATATATATATATATATATGTTGAACTATTGTGAATTTTCAAGTCTGATACATTTTTATGTAATGTGCCCTATATATAGTATGTGCAGTAAAAGGTTTTTGTTTTTTGACCAGTCCTGGGGATTGAACTGAGGTCCTGGACACTGTCCCTGAGCTTCTTTTGTTCAAGACTGGTGCTCTACCACTTGAGCCACAGTACCACTACTGGGTTTTCTGTTTATGTGGTACTGAGGAATCAAACCCAGGGCTTCATGCATGCTAGGCAAGCACTCTACCACTAAGCCACCTTCCCAGCTCCTGGAACAGATTTGATACTAAACCAAGTAAGATCTTTCCATGTGAATGCTTATAAATTTTTTTTTTTTTGGTCAGTTGGGCTTGAACTCTGGGCCTGGGCACTGTCCCTGAGGTTTTTCAGCTCAAGGCAAGCACTCTACCACTTGAGCCATAGCACCACTTCTGGTTTTCAAGATTCTCATGGGCTTTCTGGGCCGGGCAGGCTTTGAACCGCGATCCTCAGATCTCAGCCTACTGAGTAGCTAGCATTACAGGTGTGAGCCACTACTTCATCCTTCTTAATAGCTGCAGAGAATATCTGTATGCAAGCCTAATCTGATTAGGTGTTTCCAATGAGTTTTTTTTTCTGTTTTTTGGTTGGTCGTGTGGCTTGGGCGCTATCCCTGCACTCTTCAGCTCAACACAAGCACTCTACTGTTTGAGCCACAGTGCCACTTCCAGTTTTCGAGTGGTTTATTGGAGATAAGAGTCTCAAGGACTTTCTTGCCCGGGCTGGCTGGCTTTGAACCGGGATCCTCAGATCTCAGCCTCCTCAGTAGCTAGGATTACAGGCGTGAGCCACCTGCGCCTCGGCACCAATGAGTATTTTAAATAGTGAAGATCCTTTTTCATAGTTTTTGCATCTCTTTCTTAGGATAGCTTTGAAGAAATTGAACTGCTGCAGTGTTCACGTAGCATGAACAAGGCTCTGGTTTCAATCCCCAGCTCCCAAAAGTTGCTGAATTAAGGGTGTTTTCTTTTTTCTTTTGTTGGTCATGGGGTTGATCTCTGAGCCTGGGCACTATTCCTTCGCCTATTTTGCTCAAAGCTAGTGCTCTACCACTTGAGCCACAGCTCCACTTCTGTTTTTTGAGTGGTTAACTGGAGATGAGTCTCACAGAGACTTTTCTGCCAGGGCTGGTTTTGAACTGTGATCCTCAGATTTCAGCCTCCTGAGTAGCTAAGATTACTGGTGTGAGTCACCAGGACCATCTTAGCCTAACACTTTCAAGTTTCATTTGTGAACCACATCAGCTTTTTTTTTTTGTCAGTCATGGGCTTTGAACTCAGGGCCTGGGTGCTGTCCCTGAGCTCTTTTACTCAGGGCTAGCATTCTTCCACTTTAAGCCACAGCTGCACTTCCAGTTTTCTGGTGTTTAATTGGAGATAAGTGTCTCACAGCCTTTCCTTACGAGGTTGGCTTTGAACCACCTGTCCTCAGATCGCAGCCACCTAAGTAGCTAGGCTCACAGGTGTGAGTTACCAGCACCTGGCCACACAGGCTTTTTTGTTGTTGTTTCGGGGGTTTTTTGGTTTTGGGTTTTGTTTTTGTTTTTTGCCAGCCCTGGGGCTTGTACTCAGGGCCTGAGCACTGTCCCTGAGCTTCTTTTGCTCAAGGCTAGCACTCTACCACTTGAGCCACAGTGCCACTTCCAGCTTTTTCTGTTTATGTGGTACGGAAGAATTGAACCAAGGGCTTCATGCATACTAGGCAAGCACTCTACCACTAAGCCACATTCCCAGCCCCACACAGGCTTTTTAAAAGACAAATAGTACTGCATTGTACTACTACATTTTCTTTGTCCATTCACTCCTACCTAAGATTTCCCACCTTATTGTAGATATTACAGTTATTGTAGATGTTACAGTGAACAGGGAGTGATCTCTTCCTGCCACGCCACATACACTTGGTTGAAACTTTTGGAATGAAAGGTTCTGGACAGGAGTGGAGCCTGGCATAGACTCAAGCCCCAGGCATCCCCCAGGAGTTGGTGGAGAACTGGATTCCCTAAAAAAGACAATCTGGTCAGACTTAACCCATTGTTCTCTGAGAAAGAGAAGTTCTAGTGTGACTGCTGCTCACCACAGTGACCCAGGGCCCAGTGGCAGGATGCCTGCCCTGTGCCCTGACAGGTCCCACCTGGAAGAGCGTCTGTCCTGCCTCCAGGCCAGTTCAGGCCTGCCATCGTATACAATAACTCCTGTTTCCTCCTCTAACAAGCAGCTCAGTATCCAACCACCATGGGAACCCAGTCTGAGAGGCACAATGGAGAAGAAGCTGCCAAAGCAAGCGTTTGGAAAGGAGCAGAGATCACAGCAGACAAAGCAGCCATGAAGATGTGTCTGCAAGGAGTCCTTAGCTGGGTTCAGCGAAGAGAGGCCGGCGCAGGTGGGCGGAGCACTTCCATAAAGCTGCCTGTGGTGGATAGATGGCTTCTGATTTGACATCGGCAACAGAATAAGGGACTGCAAGTTCAATGAATAGTCTCTGGCCAGAGAAACAAGGTCAAGAGCTTAAGTTTCTGCACTTC